CCAACCGGTACTATAATTTTTATCATTATTTTAGAGTGTCCTCCTGCCTATATATATATATAAAAAGTTAACTGTAAAACAGCCTCAGGCAGGTCCTTCAGGAGGTATCCAAAAGAGGGCCTTCTTATCACAGGAGGTAACAGCTCCATGCCCGTTAATGCCCCTGAAGAAATTCCAGTAGGACAAGATGTGGAGATGGAAGACAGTGATATTGACCCTAACCCTTTGTAGGCCTAGGCTAATGTATGTGTTTATGTCTTGTTTTTTTACCAAAAAAGTATTAAAAAGCAAAAAAAAAAAAAAAAAAAAAAAGAAGAAGAAAAAACTTATAAGGATATAAAGAAAATATTTTTATACAGCTGTACATTGTGTTTGTGTTGTAAATGAAGTGTTATTACAAGAGTAAAAAAGTTAAAAAACTTATAAAGTAAAACGGTTACAGTAAGCAAAGGTTAATTGATTATTGAAGAAAAAATTTTTAATCCATTAGTGTAGCTTAAGTGTGCAATGCTTATAAAGTCTGTAGTAATGTCCTAGGCCCTCAATTCACTTACCACTTACTTACTGACCCACACAGAGCAATTTCCAGTCTTGCAAGCTCCATTTATTTATGGTAAGTACTCTATACAAGCATACCTTTAAAAAACTCTTTTACATTTTTACTGTACCTTTTCTGTTTGGATACACAAATACTTGTCATTGTGTTTCAGTTGTGCACAGTGTTCCATGTAGTGACATGCTGTGCAGGTTTGTAGACCAGGAGCAATGGGTTATACCACATAGCTTAGGTGTGTAGGAGGCTCTACCATCTAGGTTTGTGTAAGTTCACTCTCTGATGTTACTACAATGAAGACATTGCCTGACATGCATTTCTCAGAAACAATCCTCATCGTTAAGCAAATTGACTGTATTTATGAAACAGAAAATATAGGTGATTTAATTGTTAAATGACTATATAGTAATGATTCCTCTGAAACTACAGGCTGCATATTTCAACCAATAATGGGACAACTTTTCCTTTAAATTTCCATAGAATTCTTAGATGGATGGCATGATTCATTTACATCACTAATTATATCTAACATTATTCTGTGTTCATTTTCACTATTTATTTTAATGATTTGGTCCCAGTTATTTTAAAAGAGCAAGTTGGAAGACAGTCTCATGTCTTATGCAGTAAATGGAAGAATAATAGTTAATTGATTCTACTATTATGTTTTCACTTATTCATATGAACAGCCCAGTTAGCTCCCAACAGTGTCTCCCTGTCAGGTTGCATCAATAATGCAAATTAATATCAGTAATATCAGTAGTAGTTGATTATATTCCATTTATAAGTACTATGCTTGGTTATACCTGCATACAGAAAAATTCCAGTTTGGATTACAGATTGTCTTCTCACAATTTTGTCAGTGTCATTGTATAATCTAAAATAAATTATTAATTTAATATATCTTACCACATTCAAGATTTCACTTATTTCTTCAGCTATGCTTCTGGTCTCTATCTAGACTTACATTAAGAAGTAAACATAAAAGTCAGATGTGGAGGCTGAGGTGGGTGGATCACAAGATCAGGAAATCAGGACCATTCTGGCCAACATGGTGAAACCCTGCCTCTACTAAAAATATAAAAATTAGCCTGGTGTGGTGGCGGGCACTTGTAATCCCAGCTCTTCAGGAATCTGAGGCAGGAGAATTGCTTGAACCCTGGAATCGGAGGTTGCAGTGAGCCAAGATTGCACCACTGCACTCCAGCCTGGGCAACAGAGCAAGACTTTGTAACAAAACAAAAAAAAAAGAAGTAAACATAAAGTAAAAAGATGTGAGCAAAACACCATGCATTTGTCTGGCTTTGTTAGTGATTTAGAACAGCCTTAATTCAAATTATAATCTTATTTTATACCATTCTTAACCCATATAGTTTGTAATCCAAGTTGACAACATATCCCAGTAATTGTACTTGATAAGCCAAAGACAGTTAACCAAATTCTTGGCTGGGCCCAGTGGCTCATGCCTGTAATCCCAGAACTTTGGGAGGCCAAGGCAGGTGGATCATGAAGTCAGGAGATCGAAGCCATCTTGGCTAACATGGTAAAACCCCATCTCTACTAAAAATTTAAAAAATTAGCCGGGTATGGTGGCATGCGCCTGTAATCCCAGCTACTCAGGAGGTTAAGGCAGGAGAATCACTTGAACCTGGGAGGTGGAGGTTGCAGTGAGCCAAGATGGTGTCGTGCACTCCAGTGTGCACGACAGAGCAAGACTCCAACTCAAAAAAAAAAAATTCTTTTTCTGGGTTTTAATATGTAAACTGACTATTCATAAAATTTTCATCATTTCAGATATTTAACATATCTTGCAAAGTTTAAATCAGTGAAATAACATGGAAAATAAAACACTGATTTTTCAGTTTGAGTGTGAAAAGCTACACTAGTATGGACAAATAGACTTTTGCAATAAACAGAATCAAGACAGTGAACAATGCCTCCTTCAGCCAGGAACAAATGTAAGTCTTTGCATGTTAAAATACAAGTATGTTTTATGTACTAACTACATTTATATTTAGTTATTATTACATATTTAAGGTATAGCTATTGTACTGTACTGATATTCTATTGGCTTAATAAAAGGCTTTATTTAAAAAGCTCTCCTAGTCAATGTACTTATAAAAATAGACTTTACTTATTTATTTTTTGAGATAGAGTCTCACTCTGTCACCCAAGCTGGAGTGCAGTGGCACAATCTCAGCTCATTACAACTTCTGCCTCCTGGGTTCAAGTGATTCTCGTGCCTCAGCCTACTGAGCAGCTGGGATTACAGGCATATGCTACCACGTCTGGCTAATTTTTGTATTTTTCAGTAGCGATGAGGTTTTGCCATGTTGGTCAGGCTGATTTTGAACTCCTGACCTCAGGTGATTCACCCACCTCGGCCTCCCAAAGTGCTGTGATTACAGACATGAGCCACCATGCTCAGCTAACTTTATTTTTCAGAACAGTTTGTATTTATAGAAAAAGAGAAGACAGCATAGAGTTCCCACATATATCTTCTCCTAGTTTCTCCTGTTATTAATGTCTGTTAGTATGGTTCATTTGTTACAATTCATGAATGATATAATGATACATTATTAACTAAAGTTCATGGCTTATTCAGATTTCCTCAGTTTTCACCTAATGTTCTTTTTCTGCTCCACCATCCCATCCAGATACCACATTATACTTAAAACTTGTCATGTCCTCTTAAGCTCTTCCTGGGTGTGGCAGTTTTCCTGGCTTTCCATGTTTTGATGACCCTGAAAGTTTAAGGAATAACATTGTGGGAGTTCAGTCAGGGTGGTGGTAAAAATTTTAGGGGAAAAATTACAGTTATAGGAAGATAGTTATAGGAAATAGTCACAAACCTTGGAAGGCTGGGGAAGGGGAGGAGGGTGGTTTGCATAGCTTCAGTAAAAGGTTTGGCTGAAGGCAACTGAATTCTTTTAAAAGCGTCGGGTGTAGATACATAGGAATGTAGAAGAGTTTGTCTAAATAGCTTGTTTACTCATGTGGTCTTAAGACTTGATTATTGAAGGTGCATGATTGCTCTCTACTGGGGAGACTGGCAATGTCAATGACCCTCTAGTGGTGTTTACTCAAGAGCTTTGTCATTTAATCTGTACTAGATAAATGTGAATGTTGCTGGCAGGTAAGGGCTGTGGCTGCTGACTCTTTATGGGACCCTTCTCAGTATTGGTGAGTGGCCTGAACCCTTAGCCAGACTGACAGGCAAAATATCTGGGTCAGTGTACGTTATTTATCTGTTGTGCAAGCCTGGGTCTATGGGTTGGACCCCGGCATACCATCAAATGTTTCATTGGATGCCTCTCTGAGTTTGATTTCTCATGAGTAGACTAAAAGCACACCTAGATTTCACCAAACTGCTGTCATGGACATAAACTTAAGTATCATTTCTAGTACTATGCCTCTGGTGTATAATTAGAGGCAGAAAAGAATATGATTTTCAAAAGGTTGGCTTTACATAAAATAAGAGGTAGATAACATCATTAAGATAATAAACAGTAGTCACTTTAATTTGCTTTCCCAAGTAAGCTCATTCTTTACAAATTAAAATTATGATAGAAAGCTAGACAAAATGTGTAAGTAATACATAGCTCAATATCATATACCTTCAGAGGTAAAATTTGGGATTTATATGTTACTCAAGTATATATACATGTTTTCAAAGCATATTGTCACATTTTTGTCTGCCAAATAAGCATTTAAAAAGTATTTTGAAGGATTCTCTGAGCCTATGGGTCAAAAATAGCCCACCATAAATCCTTAGAAATTTATAGTAGGCAAATAATTTTCTACTGAGCAGCAGTTCTCAAACTTTAGTTATCAGATTCACCTGAAGGGACTTTGAACACAGATTCCTGGGTGCTATCTCCCAGTTTCTGATTTGGTGGCTCTGGGGTGCAGCCTGAGAGTGTCCATTTTTAACAAGTTCTAGTGATGCTGATGTTGCTGGTCTGAGGTGCATCATGAAAACCACGTTCTCTGATGCTTTAGCATCAAGGAAACTACATTTATTAAATGCCTATGATTATTGAAGTGTTATACATGTATTACCTTATTTAATCATAGAATCTTATGTCAGTATGATTGCTCCTTTTATAAATGGGAATCTGAGACTTGGAGAGACTGGGAATCTCACCTGAGAAGAAAATGGAATGAGCAGCAAAACTACAATTTGGATATCTTTCTAATTCTAACACCCATGTTTTCCTGCACAATGTACTGTTTCTTGTTGATAAAAGGAGGGAAATGTATGCATCCTTGCCATGCTCATTTGAAAACAGACAAATGTATCTGAAGTGATTGGTTCAGGTCACAGGGCGTTAACGAAGGGACAGGATTCTTAGGAACTGGGCAAAGACTCAGGGTCGTGAAGAGGATTTACTTAAATCTGAACTGAAATAATCACAGGTGATATGAATTTAGCATGTAACTAACAAAATAGGAAGAATGTGTTTAATATAGTATTATACATTCCTTAATTACAATTATTTATTCCAGAAAACATACAAATAAAAATCCTTAAAAGAATAATCTCATTTAAATGTAAAGCATTATATATACTACTCTAAATGTCTGCCAGTATACACTACATTACTAATCAACCACTACTTACTCTGAAATTGAGGTAACATAGCATGAGGCAATAAAATGCTCTGACAATTATTGAAACGTTTATCTCCTTTCACAGAGAAAACCAAAAGCAATGACATTACACAACAAAATAAGCAATTTAAGTTTTAAGCAAAGTGGTACATGATACAGTAAATAGATCGCCAAAAATGAAGTTCCCAATAATATAAATTTCTTTCACTTTGTTATATTGTATATAAAAAAGGATAGAGATGCAAAATTATCCAACTGCAGACCTAAAATACCTAATGAGGTCTAAACTTCAGAGTGACAAAAACACCCACCCAACTCTACATCTCTATCAAAACAAATATATTATGTAAGAAAGAGTCCTCTTTAAATATATATATCTATATAGCCATGTAATACTGTTCATTAAATCCAGTTCTATTTATTTAAATAAGAATTAAGTAAACTGCCCAAATGCTTATTTTCATTTCACAAAACATAAAGTATTTTAAATCACAACTTCAGGGTGCTATAATGAATACACTGGTTCCTTAGACAGCATTAAGAAGCATATTTTTAAGAATATATTTTCATCTATAGGCCAGGTAAAGCTTTATTAAATGATAAACATTTTTGAACAGTGCAGAAATACAAGTTTCAAAAACAAATACATTCAGAAGATCTGCTGTTCAAATAATATTTTTTCAAAACCAGGAGGAGGCGTATGATAAAATTCACTGAACTGGCAATCCAAAATTGCACTGTCATCAACTAAAGGATAGGAAAAGAAAGAAAATAAATTAGAAGCAAATACTTTAATTTGAATGAATACACAATATAAAATAAACTGTCTCCATAATACCAAAATATTAATAGGTAAGAAGACTAAATATATCTGCTGTCCCTGTTACAAAACATAATCCTATGGGTAAAAACAGCCATAACAAAAACAAAAATCTGTCAAACATATTGAAAGGATATATATCAAAATATTATTAGTAATTCTCTCAAGAGAATGTGAACATGGGTAATTTTTTTCTTATTTGCTTATCTGCATTTTCTCAATTTTATACAATTTAGATGTATTACTTTTAAAAAAATGTTTAATTTTGAAAAACTACAGATGTACAGGAAGTTGCAAAAATGTTAGAGTCCAGTGCACCCTCTGTCCAGTTTGCCTCAGTGGTAACATCTTACACGACTACAGATCAACGTCCAAACCAGGAAACTGACATCGGTGCACTACTGTGAACTAGACTGCAGGCCTCACTCAGCTTCTAAATGTTTTTACCCGCATTTACTCAAGAGAAATGAGTATGTATATCCAAAGACATATTTTCAAATGTTCACAACAGCTTTATTTGTAATAGCCCCACACAGGAAACAACCCTAATGTCCATCAACCGCTGAAGGATACAGAAATTGTGATATATCCACACAATGCTATACTTCTCAGCAATAAAAACTGATGAATTATTGATACATGCTACAGCATGAATGAATCTTCAAATAACTGTGCTGAGTAAAAGAACCCAGACCAAAAGAAAAGTACAGACCATAAGATTTTGTTAATAAAATAGTCTAGAAAATGCAGGCTAATCTGTAGTGACAGAAAGCTGATCAGTAGTTATTTGGTTGGGACTGGGGTAGGGAGAGGTGAGTAGGATACAAGAGACAGAAGGAAACCTTTGGGGTGAGAATTATGTTCATTACCTTGACCCTGGTGATGACAAAACAAACCATGACTGTAAAGCAAAGCAAGTAAATAATTAGCACTGCCATCCAATAGTGATTAACTCTCCCTGGGTGAGGAACATAGCTGTGGTGCGGGCTGCATCTGGGCCCAGAAAATATTTCTTTATCTAAGTGGTGTGGGTGTTCACTTGGTAGCCATTGGTTAAATTGCACATGTAAGTTTAATGCACATTTCTATATACTTTATATTTCAACATGAATGCAGAAAAAAATGTAAATACTGGATTTCACATTTATGAAGCCACCAGTGATTTTAACAAGGGTGGTTTCAATGAGTGGTGTATGGCAGCCAGGTTGGGTTGCAGAACAAATGAACAATAACCACAAAGGTGTCAAATTGTCAAATGCTCTACTCCTGAGCTAGTCAAATAATCTGTACAACAACCCCCGACCCCATAACACCAGTTTACTATGTAACAAACCTTCACATGTACCCCCAACCTAAATGTTAAAAAAAAGAAAAACAATAAAGATGGCAGATGTAGGTTACTCTAGAAGAAATGTGGCCATCCAGGGACTAGTCAGGAATGTATGCCCAAGAAGGATGTTTGGGATGGGAAAGACTCAGAATGTTTATAAGCACTGAAGAGGGAGGCCTATGACATGAGATACTGATGAAATAACTGACAAAGTGACATTCCAGAGTTGGGGAATTTGAAACCCAGACTACAGACAGAGTGTTTGCAACATGCAGAGCACCACTTCTGAGATGAGATGGAAAGAAGGCAGGATTGGACTTGAAGAGAGGGAAGCTGGAGTTCACTTGTGAGAGTCTGTTTTTTTGTAAAGTAGAAGGCAAGAGCATTTTCAGAGAATGAATGGAGAATACAAGAGGCACAGAATGCACAGAGATACAAAAAGAATCGATGAAAATTATTGAGAGCTCAGATTAGGCTGGAAGTATTAACTTTGTAACCACACACCTTCGATGTGATGCAGTTTTTCTCTCTGTATAGGTTCAGTGTAAGAATAGACAAAGTGGCCAGGTGCAGTGGCTCATGACTGTAAGCCTGTAATCCCAGCACTTTGGGAGGCTGAGGTGGGCAGATCACAAGGTCAGCAGTTCGAGACCAGCCTGGCCAGCATGGTAAAACCCTGTCTCTACTAAAAATACACACAAAAAAATTAGCTGGGCATGGTGGTGTGTGCCTATAGTCCTAGCTACTTGGAAGACTGAGGCAGGAGAATCGCTTGAACCCAGGAGGTGGAGGTTGTAGTGAGCCAAGATTGCACCACTGCACTCCAGCCTGGGTGACAGAGCGAGACTCCATCTCAAAAAAAAAAAAGAATAGACAAAGCAAATGATTGGATTGATCAAGGATTACAGATAGAAGACAAAAAGGTAAGGTGATCTAAGTTTTATTTTTATCTTTGATAAGATCAGGCTATTAAAATACTTGGTTTAACTGGAGTGATTTATGAGTTCAATTTATGAAATACAATTCAGCGTAACGTTAGTACATTACAAATAATGCTGAATAAAAGAAACAGTTTAGAGCATTAAGCTTATTTGCTACAGTTTAACTTGTATAACTGTCATTCTACTGATATTTATTTTATTTCTCAGGCTAACCTATTTCAAGTATCAAACTAAATTTTCACTTACTCAAGTAAATAAAGGAATTGCTTTTAGGCTTACCCAATATGCAAAACTAAATTGAGTTTTAAAAACATGTTTACATGCAAGGACACAGAAGGTAAAAGTGACTGAAAGTAATTTTAGGAGAAAAGAAGGCTAATGAAAACCTTACACTAAAAAGTAATCACAGGCATACTTCTGACATCCCGGTTTGTCATCATTGATAAGCTATTTCTATTTTTTTAACTTTAATTTTATTTTTCTTTTGAAACAGGGCCTTACTCTGGTACCCAGGCTGGAGTACAGTGGCACAATCATTGCTCACAGGAGACTTGATCTCCCAGGCTCAACAGATCCTCTCAGTTCAGCCTCCCAAGTAGCTGGGACTACAGGCATGCACAACTGCACCTGACTAATTTTTAAATTTTATGTAGAGACAGGTTCTCACTATGTTGCTCAAGGCTGGTCTTGAATTCCTGGGTTCGAGCAACCCTCTTACTTCAGCCTCCCAAAATGCTGGGATTACAGGCATGAGTCATTGCACCAGTACTGCTTTTATAGTAAACTACAAAACATTTATTTCGTTGTTTTCTTTTTTTCTGAGATGGAGTCTTGCTCTGTCACCCAGGCTGGAGTGGAGTGGTGTGATCTCAGCTCACTGCAATCCCTGCCTCCTGGGTTCAAGTGATTTTTTTTTTTTTCCTGCCTTAGCCCATGAGGTAGCTTCGATTACAGGTGTATGCCACCACACCCAGCTAATATTTGTATTTTCAGTAGAGATGGGGTTTCACCATATTGGCCAGGCTGGTCTTGAACTCCTGACCTCAAGTGACCCACCTGCCTAGTGCTAGGATAATAGGCATGAGCCACTGGGCCTGGCTTAATTCGTTCTTTTTTGTTGGGGGGAGACAAAGTCTTGCTCTGTCGCCCACGCCAGAGTGCAATGGCACAATCTCAGCTCACTGCAACCTCTACCTCCTGGATTCAAGCGATTCTCCTGTCTCGGCCTCCCATGTAACTGGGATTACAGGCAGGCACTACCACACCTGGCAAATTTTTTTTGTATTTCATCATGTTGGTCAGGCTGGTCTCAAACTCCTGACCTCAAGTGCTCCACTGGCTTCAGCCTCCCAAAGTGGTGGGATTATAGGCGTGAGCCACTGAGCCAGTCCTAATTAGTTCTTATTATAACCCAAATTTAAGAACTTAGATGAAAAAATATTTTTAGATTAAAACTACAGGCAGAAAAATCATATGCCTGTTGATTTAAAGCTGATAATATAAAATAGGCTGGGCATGGTGGCTCATGCCTGTAATCCCAGCGCTTTCGGAGGCCAAGGTGGGCGGATCACTTGAGCTCAGGAGTTCAAGACCAGCCTGGCCAACAGGGTGAAACCCCGTCTCTAGTAAAAATACAAAAGTTAGCTGGGTGTGGTGATGCACACCTGTAATCTCAGCTACTCTGGAGGCTGAGGCAGGACAATCGCTTGAACCCAGGAGGCAGAGGTTGCAGTGAGCTGAGATCACACCACTACACTCCAGCCTGGGTGACAGAACAAGACTGTTTCAAAAAAAAAAGTTGGCTGAGCACGGTGGCTCATGCCTGTAATTCCAGCACTTTGGGAGGCCGAGGAGGGTGGATCACGTGAGGTCAGGAGTTCGAGACCAGACTGACCAACCCTGTCTCTACTAAAAATACAAAATTAGCTGGGTGTGGTGGCACATGCCTGTAATCCCAGCGACTCAGGAGGCGGAGGTTGCAGTGAGCCAAGATATTGCCATTGCACTCCAGCCTGGGTAACATAGTGAAACCATCTCAAAAAAAAAAAAAAGTTGATAATATAAAAAAGAATAAAGTGATAGGCTGGGCGCGGTGGCTTAAGCCTGTAATCCCAGCACTTTGGGAGGCAGAGGCGGGTGGATCACGAGGTCAAGAGATCGAGACCATCCTGGTCAACATGGTGAAACCCCGTCTCTACTAAAAATATTAAAAAAAAATTAGCTGGGCATGGTGGCGTGTGCCTGTAATCCCAGCTACTCGGGAAGCTGAGGTAGGAGAATTGCCTGAACCCAGGAGGCAGAGATTGCAGTGAGCCGAGATCGCGCCATTGCACTCCAGCCTGGGTAACAAGAGCGAAACTCCGTCTCAAAAAAAAAAGAATAAAGTGATAAAGACATTGTGGTTACGTTTTTCTAAAAAAAAAAAAAAAAAAAAAAAAAAAGAAAGGAGAGACCTATTTTTTAGACACAAATGAAACATTTATGAATAAAATTATATGCTATCTGGCATTTTCCTCAAAATAACCCAAGGAGGGGAGGTGAGGAGCAGTAGCAGTGCTGGGGGCAGGGGAGTATGGATGAAACCTGATTGGCTGCAAGTTGATAATTGTTTGAAGCTGGCTGATGGGTATATGAGGATTTATTATACTATTCTTTTTACTTCTTTACATGTTTGGAATTCTCTTCTTTTCTTTTTTTTTTTTTTCAGATGAAGTCTTGCACTGTCACCCAGACTGGAGTTTGTGGCACAATCTCAGCTCACTGCAACCTCTGCCTCCCAGGTTCAAGCGATTCTCCTGCGTCAGCCTCCCAAGTAGCTGGGATTACAGGAGCACACCACCATGCCTGGCTAATTTTTGTATTTTTAGTAGAGACAGGGTTTCACCCTACTGGCCAGGCGGGTGTCAAATTCCTGATCTCGTGTTCTACCCACCTCAGCCTCCCGAAGTGCTGGGTTTGCAGGCATAAGCCACCGCGCCCGGCCCTTAGAATTTCAGAATAAAAATTAAGGTAGGCTGGATGCAGTGGTTCATGCCTGTTTTCCCAATAGCGGTGCACACTTGTAGTCCCAGCTACTGGGGTGGCTGAGGTGGAAGGATTGCTTTGAACCCAGGAGTTTGAGGCTGCAGTGAGCTGTGATCAGGCCACTGCACTCCAGCCTGGGGGACAGAGCAGGACTGTCACAAAAAAACAAAAACAACCCCCAAGATTTAAGTAATTAAGTGGTAATAGAGTCATTTCTTAAGTAGCCCAAGTCTTGGAGGAACATACATGTAGAGAAATAACAGCACGTATACATATGTGACTACCAAAGCAAAACATGAAATTATTCTAAGTCACTATTTCCCTCAGAAGAGCATTAACATTTAGGGAATTTTGTAAAGATTATTAATGCTCTGTCTACATAAAATTCCCATTCCTAATTCCAAAATATTATTTATAGTTACGTTTCCTGGTCATGAAATCATTCCCAATAACTTGCAGAAAGGTTTTCTAAATTCAGTAAAGCTTTCTGAAACTTTCTAAAACATAAAACTACATGTTGAAAAAGGAGCCAGGTGCGGTGGCTCATGCCTGTAATCCCAGCACTTTGGGAGGCCTGATCTGGGCGGACCACCTGAGGTCGGGAGTTTGAGACCAGTCTGACCAATATGGAGAAACCTCATCTCAAATACAAAAAAGTAGCCAGGCGTGGTGGCACATGCCTGTAATCCCAGCTACTTGGGAGGCTGAGGCATGAGAATCACTTGAATCCAGGAGGCAGAGGTTGCAATGACCCGAGATTGCGCCGTGGCACTCCAGCCTGGGCAACAAGAGCAAATGTCTCAAAAAAAAAGAAAGAAAAAGTAAGTATGGTTATTGCATATTTAAGTATAATCATTGTATTTCACAATTTTTTTTAATACATGGGGAACATAAACTATTCTTAATCCTGCAAAGTGGGATTGTAATATCCTACTGACGACGTTCCATATAAAAAGGTCCGTATTGACAACATATCCAGATCCCTAGATGATAGCTACAAAATTAACATACATGCTGATATGGTTTGGCTGTGTCCCCACCCAAATCTCATCTTGAATTACAATTCCCATAATCCCCACGTGTTGTGGAGGGACCCAGTGGGAGATAACTGAATCATAGCGGTGGTTACGCTCATGCTGTTCTTGTGAGTGAGTTCTCACAAGATCTGATGGTTTTATAACGGGCTTTCCCCCACTTTGATCAATCTTCTCCTTCCTCTTGCTATGTGAAGAAGGATGTGTTTTGCTTCCCCTTCCACCATGATTGTAAGTTTCCTGAGGCCTTCCCAGCTCTGCAGAACCGTGAGTCACTTAAGCCTCTTTCCTTTATAAATTACCCAGTCTTGGGTATGTCTTTTTTTTTTTTCAAATAGGACTTTTTATTTTTTAATTTAATTTTATTTTTTAAAATAAAGATGGGCTTTCACCATGATAACCAGGCTGGTTCTGAACTCCCGACCTCAGGTGGTCCACCCACCTCAGCCTCCCAAAGTGCTAGGATTACAGGCGTGAGCCACCACGCCCGGCCACAAATAAGACATTTTATTTGCCACACATTTTATTTGCCACTATTATAAGTCTGAATTTTAAACAGATTCTTGGACTGGTGGTTCATATCCATCAGCTCGTTCAACTTTAGCACCTGTCTCATCCCCAGTGGCTTTTCCAGAACTACTGCCTTCACCATGAAGCTCCATGAGTTTTCCCAATTCAAACTCGGGCTTCTTCAGCATTTTTACTTTTCTAACGAAGACATCATGGAGAGGATAAATAGATTGGCAAGCCTTTTCTGTGTCTTTCCCAAAGCTGTCTGGAATCAATTTATTGACCACTTCTTTCAAGTCATTTGTCTGCACCTCTCCGGTCATGATTTCCATCATCTTCTTCCGGATTTGGCGGACCTGTTGGTGCTGAGCATAAGAGGTCTTCGTATCTGATTGTTGCGTTTTTTAGTAAAACCAACACAGAACAGACGAAGCAAGTAACCATCGGTAGTCTTGACATCAACATGAGCTTCAATCATTGTCTGCCATTTTTTGACCATGGAACACATTTTGTCACGGGTAAGATCCATGCCATGGAAGTTAGTCAGGCAGTTTTTGCCCTGAACATCTTCAGTAATCAGCTTGAATTGTCTAAATGCAACTTCATCATTCTGCAAATCAGCAAGACTAACTTCAAACAGTCGACCCTTGAGACCATCAGATGCAATTTTGGTTCCTTGGGTCCTGGTGACTAGCGTCTTTCCAATATTTCTTATATTGAACATAGCGGGTGCTTTCACATCATACCAATCTTTCTTAGAAAATGGATCAACCACTTTCTTCTTGGCTCCCTTTTTGCTGCCTTTCGTAAGGCGCTTGTTCTTGCCAACCGCCATGGTGCTGCTCAGAGAGCCAAAAGGGGGTATGTCTTTTTAACAACACGAGAATGGACTGATACACATGCCAAACAAAAGTTAATACATATCTAATAATACATGAGAAATATTTTAGCTTACCATAAACAACTGGATACACCGTCCCTCGTATTCCTGATGCTGGACAATGCATGTTTTTTCCATTCAAATATACATTTAATTCCACATGGTCATATGTAATACCCTAGGAAGGAAAAAATAGAAATGTTCCATAAAAGCTGAGCAGTCAGAAAGCGTTGACTGGTAAGTATGGAGACAAAAAACTAAGCAGAGGGTGACAACAATTTTCATTAGGGGTTCAAAATTTGGTAGAATTCTACTTGAACTGAGCTAAAAAAAATTAGTAGTAATTATGAGGGGGAATAACATCAGGTAACATCCCAAGAGTCCACATTAGAGATAAAACAAAGTCAACAGTTTAAATCCTAGAATTATATTTGTATAATCTAGATTTATATATATATATATATATATATATATATATATACACATATATATATATATATATATACACATATATATATATATATATATTTTTTTTTTTTTTTTTTGAGACAGAGTTTTGCTCTTGTTACCCAGGCTGGAGTGCAATGGCGCGATCTTGGCTCACCATAACCTCTGCCTCCTGGGTTCAGGCAATTCTCCTGCCTCAGCCTCCTGAGTAGCTGGGATTACAGGTATGTGCCACCGTGTCCAGCTAATTTTTTTGTATTTTTAGTAGAGACGGGGTTTCACCATGTTGACCAGGATGGTCTCGATCTCTTGACCTCGTGATCCACCCACCTCCGCCTCCCAAAGTGCTGGGATTATAGGCGTGAGCCACCGCGCCTGGCCTAGATTTTATATTTTGAATGCTAAGATAATATAAGAACTACATACCATGAATAGAGAAACCTTTTACACTCCTAGAGAAAATGCTTCTCTCTCTCTCTAAAGAATTTGATCTTTTTTTTTAGAGATGGGGTTCACCATGTTGGTTAGGCTGGTCTTGAACTCCTGACCTCAGGTGATCCACCCTCCTAAGCCTTCCAAAGTGCTGGGATTACAGTCATGAGCCACCATGCCCAGCAGAATTTGATCTTAAGAAGGAAAAACAATGAGGTTTTTTTCACTGTCAGGACTTACTACCTGTCACTGTCTTCAAATTATGAAGAAATGTCTCTATACAATTTATTTCTAGGAAGAAATAACACATTTCTACATCTCTTTACCCTGGTTTCAAATTTGTCAGGTATATTATTAAGGAAAAGCTGGTGTTTACAACTGAATAAAATTGTTAATTAGTTTCAAGTTAAAAAATAGAACAAAAACAACTCAAGTGATTTAAAAAACAATGCAATAAAATTACTCTATACACTATTGATGGAAAAAAAAAACTCTATAGTAATATTAATAATTAATGTTAAAATGCTAGAAAACACTTAGATAGCCCATATTACATACCAATAGTGCTACTATTCTAGGCAGTTCATATTTACTCATTTAATCCTCACAACAAGACAGTATTAATATCCCCATGTTACAGATGAGGTAGCTAAAGCACAGAAAGATTACATAATTTACCTAAGATTTCACAGCTAGGAAGTGGAAAAGCTGTGACTTAAACCCATGCAGTACGGTTTCAGAATACTTGTTTTTAATCACAGTACCTCTCTCTAAATAACCATGCCTCTCTTTAAAGACTTGCTCTTAATCACCTTCTCTCTTTAAAACCTTATATAATAGCGACTAACTGATAATGAAAAGACATCTTTTCCTTGAAAAACAGCAGAGATCTTTAAATAGAGAAGTCATCATAGACCAAGAAGCAAACCACTTCAAGGATTTCAGGATTTCTGACTATGGATAAATTCTATCAAGTTAAAAGCTTTTTAGAGGTAAAAAAGATTTTATAGATCATCTTAGTCTTAATTCTCTCTCTTTACAGGCAAGACAGCAAAGGCCCAGAGAAGCTAATGTGTTAAGGGCCATCAAAGCTTCTCAGTTCTTAGCAAAGCCAGGGTGAGCTTAAACAATTATTAATAATCAAGCCCCAACCTAGCAAGGCAGGCCAATATTCAAATCCAGGAAATACAGAGAACACCACAAAGATATTCCTCAAGAAGAGCAATCCCAAGGCACATAATCGTCAGATTCACCAGGGTTGAAATGAAGAAGAAAATGCTACGGTCAGCCAGAGAGAAAGGTTGGGTTACCCACATAGGGAAGCCCATCAAATTCACAGCAGATCTCTTGGCAGAAACCCTACAAGCCAGAAGAGAGTGGGGGCCAATATTCAACATCCTTAAAGAAAAGAACTTTCAACCCAGAATTTCATATCCAGCCAAACTGAGCTTCATAAGTGAAGGAAAAATAAAATCCTTTGCGAACAAGCAAGTACTCAGAGATTTTGTCACCACCAGGCCTGCTTTACAAGAGCTCCTGAAAGAGGCACTACACATAGAAAGGAACAAGTAACAGCCATTCCAAAAACACACCAAATGCTAAAGAACATCAACAAAATGAAGAATCTGCATCAACTAACAGGCAAAACAGCCAGCTAGAATCAAAATGGTAGTATCAAATTCACACATAACAATATTAACCCTAAATGTAAATGGGCTAAATGCACCAATCAAAAGACACAGACTGGTAAATTGGATAAAAAGCCAAAACCCATCGGTGTGCTGTATCCAGGAAACCCATCTCACATGCAAGGATACACAAAGCCTCAAAATAAAGGTATGGAGGAAGATTTACCAAGCAAATGGAGAGCAAAAAAAAGTAAGACTTGCAATTCTCATCTCTGATAAAATAGACTTAAAAGCAACAAAGATCAAAAGAGACAAAGAAGGACATTACATAATGGTAAAAGGATCTATACAACAAGGAGAGCTAATGATCCTAAATATATATGGACCCAATACAGGAGCACCCAGATATATAAGGCAAATTCTTAATGACTTACAAAGAGACTTAGACTCCCACACAATAATAGTGGGAGACTTTAACACTCCACTGTCAATATTAGACAGATCAATCAGACAGAACATTAACAAGGATATCCAGGACTTGAACTCAGACCTGGAACAAGCAAACCTGATAGACATTTACAGAACTCTCCACCCCAAATCCACAGGATATACATTCTTCTCAGCACCACATCACACCTACTCTAAAATTAACCACATAATTGGAAGTAAATCACTCCTCAGCAAATGCAAAAGAACGGAAATTATAACAAACAGTCTCTCAGACCACAGTGCAATCAAGTTAGAACTCAGAATTCAGAAACTAACTCAGAACCGCACAGCTTCATGGAAACAACAACTGGCTCTTGAATGTTGACTGGATAAACAATGAAATGAAGGCAGAAATAAAGAAGTTCTTCAAAACCAACGAGAACGAAGACACAACATACCAGAATCACTGGGACACATTTAAAGCAGTCTCTAGAGGAAAATATATAGCAGTAAGTGCCCACATGAGAAAAGTAGAGATATCCAAAATTGACACCCTATCGTCAAAATTGAAAGAGCTAGAGGAACAAGATAAAAAAAAACTCAAAACCTAGCAGAAGACAAGAAATAACAGATCAGAGCAGAACTGAAGGAGATAGAGACACGAAAAACCCTTCAAAAAATCAATAAATCCAAGAGCTGGTTTTTCGAAAAGATCAAAAAAATAGACAGACCACTAGCCAGATTAATAAAAAAGAAAAGAGAGAATAACCAAATAGATACAATAAAAAACGATAAAGCGGAAATCACCACAGATTCCACAGAAACTCAAACCATCATCAGAGAATATTACAAACAACTCTATGCACATAAACTAGCAAACCTGGAAGAAATGGATAAATTCCTGGACACTTGTGCCATCCCAAGCCTAAACCAGGAAAAAGCCCAAACTATGAATAGACCAATAACAAGATCTGAAGTTGAGACAGCAATTAAGAGCCTCCCATACAAAAAAAGCCCAGGTCCAGATGGGTTCACAGCCGAATTCTACCAGACACACAAAGAGGAACTGTTACCATTCCTTCTGAAACTATTCCAAATAATCCAAAAAGAGGGAATCCTTCCCAAATCATTTTATGAGACCAACATCATCCTGTTCAGCAGAGACTCAACAAGAAAAGAAATCTTCAGGCCAATATCCATGATGAACATAGTCGCAAAAATCTTCAATAAAATACTGGCAAGCTGATTGCAACAGCACATCAAAAAGCTTATCCACCATGATCAAGTAGGATTCATCCCGGGGATGCAAGGCTGGTTCAACATACGCAAGTCTATAAACGCAATTCACCACATAAACAGAACCAAAAACAAAAACCACATGATTATCTCAATTGACACAGAGAAGGCCTTTGACAAAATTCAACAGCCCTTTATGCTAAAAACCCTCAATAAACTTGGTATTGATGGAACATATCTCAAAATAATAAAAGCTATTTACGACAAACCAACAGCCAATATCATACTGAATGGGCAAAAACTGGAAGCATTCCCTCTGAAATCTGGCACTAGACAAGGATGCCCTCTCTCACTACTCCTATTCAATATAGTACTGGAGATTCTAGCCAGAGCAATCAGGCAAGAAAAAGAAATAAAGCGTATTCAAATAGAAAAGGAGAAAGCCAAATTGTCTCTATTTGCAGACAACATGATAGTATATCTAGAAGACCCCATCGTCTCAGCCCCAAAACTCCTGAAACTGATAAGCAACTTCAGCAAAGTCTCAGGACATAAAATCAATGTGCAAAAATCACAAGCATTCCTATACACCAATAACAGACTTAAAGAGAGCCAAATCTAGAACGAACTGCCATCACAATTGCTACAAAGAGAATAAAATACCTAGGAATACAACTTACAAGGAACGTAAGGGACATCTTCAAGGAGAACTACAAACCACAGCTCGATGAAATAAGAGATGACACAAACAGATGGATAAACATTCCATGTTCATGGTTAGGAAGAATCAATATTGTGAAAATGGCCATACTGCCCAAAGTAATTTACAGACTCAACGCTAACCCCATCAAGCTACCAATGACCTTCTTCACAGAACTGGGAAAAAACACCTTAAACTTCATATGGAACCAAAAGAGAGCCCGCATAGCCAAGTCAATTCTGAGCAAAAAGAGCACAGCAGGAGGCATCACACTACCAGACTTCAAACTATACTACAAGGCTACAG